AAAATTTCACATGTTCAAAATATGTTAATGACATTTTTATACAAATGTGCAGAAATGTAAAAAAATAATTCACATTTTTTAAAATGTTTGCACCATTCATAAAAATTATCCATGACATTTTTCACGTGTTCAAAAATATGTTCATGACATTGAAAAATACTCATGAAATGTAAAACATGTTCGTGCAAATTTAAGGGTTGTTCACAATGTAAAATATTTGTGCTATCTAAGAAATGGTCATAAACACTTAAGGGATATTCACACTTTATACAAAATTGTTCATGATTGTTTTCAGAAAAGTTCAACATGTGTTTAAAAATGTTCATTGTGTATTAAAATTGTTCAATTTTGCATTTGACAAATGTTCAACATGTATTCAGATAAATGTTTAGCGTGTATTTCAAAAAAACCTCAGCTTATATCTAAAAAATGTTCAACGTGTATACTGAAAATGTTCAAGGTGTACTCAAAAATTTGACATGTATTTTTGAAAACAAAAAAAAATCCAACTGCAAAAAAAGGAAGTAGCTGGAGAAAACACATAAAAAGAAAAAGGATCACATTGAACTTTCCCAAAACCGCTTGTGCACAACTTATGTTGTGCCCGTCCTGTTGGGTGAAGTCTACAGTCGAGCGCTACTACCGTCACGTGCCGTAAGCGAATCATAGGATTTGCGTACTTATAGGCAATCGACTCGCTTGACAAATGTTCCTCATTTGTGGAGGCTACGCTTTTTGTTGATGTCCCAATGTGGAGGAAGATCTTCTAGCTGATCCTTTTCGTGTATTACATTGTTTACCGGTCTTTTTTACTGCAATACGGAGGTACTTTGCTAGCTGACCTATCTTCATGTTTTACATTGTTTACAAATATCGTCCCATATTTTAGTTTTCTCTTCCTTTCAATCAAACAAAGGAGGAAACATGCATGCACTGTGTTTAGTTTCCTCTTCGTGTTCCTTTGAGGAGTTTTTTTTTTCCTAAAACAGTGCAGACGCATTTTGAATTTGATGGAATTGCCACAGACGCCTTCATAGTCGTCAGGAACGTCAGTGAAAGCGTCAACTTATTTTAATATTATACATGATTTACCATTTGGGGGTGGGGTTGCAAATTTTGTGGTACTCGCAAGGGAAGTGATGGGGAAAAAAAATCCATCACCATGTGTTCAAGCATTTATCTTTAACTAAGATACCTGTTGATATTTGCAATCATACCAAAGAGTAAACTACGAATAAAATTGATGGTATGGTCCAAGATTGCAACTGCAACTTATATGAACGCATGCATTTATCATTCAAACAAGGTTAGAGAGCACCCTACTAAATTGACTGCACCATTTTGAGTTGCTTTATTTACAAGGCATCGATGTTGGATCATGTGGGAAAAAACATTGGCATGCAAGCTCACGGGAGGCTGTAAGAAAATTATCTAACAAGGTTACAAAATCTTTTATATATATATATATATATATATATATATATATATATATATATATATATATATATATATATATATATATATATATATATATATATATATATATATAGTGGTGCTATTCATCACTCAGGGTGCAGAATAAGTTATTCTTCATCCGAGGTAATCTTACAGTCACTTCATAATTAAATTACGTTTGGAGTTCAAATAGTTACATTCCTATTGATTCACTACGTAAAATTTGATATAAGAAAAAAAATATAGGTCATAAGACAAGAAAATTTGGAGTTCATGTATATTTTACACTATGTTTTTACGTTTGTAATTTTACATAACATAAAAAAAATTACGGCGATTGTTTGTTTTCTTACGATCTCTTTTTACGTCAGAAATAAGATAAAACTTACGAAACGTAAAATTACAGTGCATTGGCGGTAAAATAGTGGGGGTGAAGAATAACTATTCCCCATCCGGGGTGACGAATAGTCAATCCCTATATATTGTTTTTTTAAGAACAGAATAGAAGTTACTGATTTTGGATAAACTATATTTTGTAAGAGTATCTACAACCGGGCGCCTCAAACCCGTCTCATACGCCCGGGCGGGCCGTCCGTTCATTGCCCGGTCACGTTTTTTCGAACCAGACGGGCTCCTTAAATGGGCGTCAAACACCCGGGCTGATTGGGCTGGGTAAGGGGGCGCTCGAGTACGCCCGAGCATGCCTGCCACGTCAGACCCGACAGCATGACCCCACCCAAAATTGCATCAAATCCATCAAACCTTCTTCCTCCTCCTGCCGCCCTCCAATCTTTCCCGCGCCCGGACCCTCTCCTCCTGATCTGGAGAAAATCGATAGATTCAGAAACTATGAATCTCCACCCTTGCTCCCAATCCTCACCTCTGGTCCTGATCCAACGCCGGCGATGTCGTCCAGCCCAACCCACACCGTCGCAACGGAGACGCAATCCACCTCGTCCGTTGGCGGGGTCAATTCGTCGGTTGCGATTTGCAAGGCGAAGAACGTCGCCCGCAAGTTGCAGCGACAAGCGGCGACATTGCAGGGAGGTTCAGACGTGGTGGAGCAGTTGTCTCCTCCGCTACGCCCGGATCCTCGCACCCCTTCCCTCTGAGCGCTGACGTGGATTACGCCGTCCGCCCCCCTTGGGACAGAGGATGATTCGATTGTGGCTGGGCCATTCCGGTCAGCTTTCTGCGCACACAGATGCCAGCGGTCGACGTGTGTAGCTCGCCTCAGCCATTCGGGCACGGATTAGCACGTGCATCGGCAATGCCCGGGCTGCCCTCGGCAAGTTCGACGGAATGACCGAACAAGAGTCTGTTTGTTTTCTTTGCTCCTGTCTGATCAGATTTTAGCATAGACGACTAGTTCATTTCACACTTGATGAATGCCTGCAAACCATAATCATGTAGGAGGCGTTCTTGTCGAACATGATCAATGACAATGAAGATTCGAACGAAATGGAGTATGAGTTAGAGGCCACCACCGCATTTGAAGTTGGGACAACATCCGATCCCAATCCGAGCAAGAAGAAGAAGAAGACCAAGACACCGAAGGCAAGAGGTCTAGCATTCTCAAGATTTGAGGACATCTTGTTGGTCAAAGCTTGGTTGGCCACAATGATGGATCCAATATGCGACACCGAGCAAAAGGGGAACACATATTGGACGAGGATTTGGAAGGAGTATCATGAGCAAAAGGAGTATGTGGAGCCGCATCCTATCGTTACCACCTGCAATGTGGCATCTCTCCAACATCGTCGGGGAACATTCAAGGGGAAGTGAATAAGTACGTCGGCTACTACTCACAAGGGATCAAACGCCCTCAAAGTGGGATGGGAGTCCCAACTCACGTAAACTCGATTGCCTCATCTTGTCGTCCATTGCATATGCTTCTTGTGTTTGCATTCTCGCACTCATACATATGTTGTTTTCTAGATGGCGGTGGCGGCCACTTTGTATCACAAGGTGGAGAAATAAGCCATTTGCTTTTAGGCATTGTTGGGTCATATTGAATGCCAAGCCGAAGTGGAACCAACTTGTGGCCGACCTCAAGTCCGGCAAGAAGAGGAATGATGGCTCAAGCTCGAACCAATCAATTGGGCTGGATGATGAAGATGACGATGTTGTCGCGACAGATGGAATAGCCACCGTGCCAAAGGACAACCGTGAAGTCTTGGGAAACAAGCGGGAGAAGGCATATGCTGCCCGTGATGCCGCAGCTACCAAAATGTCGTCCACATGGACGGGCATTCCTTCGGTGAGGGAGAACAAGAAAGAGGAGAGGCAACTCATGTTGGATGCGCAAAAGGAAAGGATGGAGTGAGACCGGAAGAGGGCGGAGAAGAAACTCGAAATTGAGACGGATAAGATCAAGTTGGAGAAGCAACAAGCGGCGATCAAATGGGAACTCGAGAAGCCAAGACATTTGGCGACATAGAGCTTGAGAAGGAAAGGTTGCAACTCGCACGGACGCGGAAGATGCGAGGATCATGTTGGTGGATGAGACCCTCTTGGATGAGCATGCGAAGAAGTGGCTTGTGGACAAGAAGATGAAGATCAAGGACCGTAGGAAGTGCGAGGACGGCTCGAACCAGATGCAGGCGTAGGAGGCAGCCTGGATGCAGGCGGAGGAGGCTGCCCGGATGCAGGCGGAGAAGGACGAGCAGGACGCATTCTGCCTGGAGCCAGTGGCGGAGGCGGGGGGACCAGCAGGGGCCCTGCCCCCCTGACATTAGGACTTTGCTGCTAATTCAGTGATGAACAGTGCATAATTAGAAATTATTTGATGCTTAAAGTCTTATTTTTCTATGCTTTGGCCCTCCCTAACCTGTTTTGACTGCAATCGCCCCCTGATCCAAATTTTCTGGCTCCGCCACTGCCTGGAGCACGACGAATTCCGCTCGGAGCAGGTGCTCGGCCAGTGATCTGAGTCCATCCATTACGCTCGGACATTGATTTCATTTTGCCATGTATGTTTTGTTGAAATATGATTTGTTTTGCTTTGTTTCAAACTTTTGCATTCAGACAGTTTGTATCGTATGATCGACGTACATGAATTGCATGGATTTGAGGATCAAAATTTGTGATATGGATGTGCGGCGCAATATTTGAGGGGTGCCTGGTCAATCCCCAGGGAAGCACTCAGGCGTGTCCGCGAGCGTTGAAGGGGCCGGATTTGCCAAGTGCCCAAGTCCAACTGTAGATGCTCCAAGGTTCACTATCAACTTTTTTTTGGAGACGGTAGAGGGAGGCACTATCAAATGTGCTTGGAGCAATGACCATCAATCAAGATGGTCAAAACGAAGATTCACGCATTGACATAGGCAACATAGTACAAGCTGATCGCCATGCATGCAACCTGATCAGACCAATCCGCGCCGTCGACCCGCCATGTCGGTTCAGTGGACGGCTCAGATCCACCGTCACTCCTCCGTCGTCCCAGATATATCGAAAGAACGAGCCGAGCCGCCTCCAGATCTCACCAGATCGATCCTCGAAAATCTCTTCTCCCCCGAGCTCGACCACCCCAAACCCTAGCAGCCATGGCGACGGAGTCGGAGCCCGCCGCGGCGCCGCGCCTGCTCCTGGGCCCGCCCCTGATCCGCGCCGCGCGCCCATCCCCCGACTCCGGCGCCGCCGCCGGCGACGCGTTGCACCCGTTCGTCGACCTCCTCGACGCGGCCTTCAACGCACCGTCGGAGGCGGCCCTCAAGGCGGCGCTCAAGCCGCGGAGGGCGCTCACGGAGAACTGCTCCGCCACGTACGCCAACTCGGGCAACCCCTGCCTCGACTTCTTCTTCCAGGTGGTCCCCGACACGCCCGCCGACCGCGTGCGCCAGCTCCTCGCCGCCGCCTGGGCGCAGGACTCACTCACGGCGCTCCGCCTCGCCTGCAACCTCCGCGGCGTGCGCGGCACCGGCAAGTCGGACAAGGAGGGCTTCTACGCCGCCGCGCTCTGGATGCACGAGCACCACCCGCGCACGCTCGCCTGCAACGTCGCCGCGCTCGCCGAGTTCGGCTACCTCAAGGACTTCCCCGAGCTGCTGTTCCGCCTCCTCCGCGGCCCCGACGTGCGCGCGGTCGCCAAGGCCGGCGCCGAGGCCGACAAGGCGCGCAGGAAGGCCAAGGGCCTCGCCAGCCAGCGGGAGGAATTGAGGGCTAGGCTCGCCAGCCGCAAGCTCGCCAGCGAGCTCGCCACCGTGCCTGCCAAGGCCACCTTCGATTACTTCCTCTCCGCCGCGCTCTCCAAGTTCGGCAAGGGCAGCAAGCCCGTGGAGGTTGTCCCGGTCCAGGAGCCCGCGGAGGTGCAGAAGCCGGAAGCGATGGAGGTGGACCAGAAGAAGAAGACGGCGGCGCGGCGGATGTCGAAGAAGGTACGCACGGTTGCCAAGCTCGCCGTGCAGTCGTTGGAGACGTACTACGGAGACCGTGCCTACCGCTTCCTGTTCGACGCTGTCGCCGATTTCTTCGCCGCGCTCCTCACCTCGGACCTCCAGCAGCTGGCCTCCGGCGGCAAAAAGAGGAAGATCGGGCTCGCCGCCAAGTGGTGCCCCACTCCAGGCTCGTCCTTCGACCGCACCACGCTGCTCTGCGAGGCCATCGCCCGCCGCCTCTTCCCGCGTGACTCGGACCCCGAGCTCACCCAGCTCTCGGAAGAGCACTACGCGTACCGCGCCCTACACCGCCTCCGCCGCGAGGTGCTCGTGCCGCTGCGCAAGGTGCTGGAGCTCCCGGAGGTGTACATGAGCGCGCAGCGGTGGTCGGAGCTGCCCTACACCCGCGTCGCCTCGGTGGCCATGCGGCGCTACAAGTCCCTCTTCAAGAAGCACGATGAGGAGCGCTTCGACAAGTACCTGGAGGACGTGGAGGCTGGCAAGGCCAAGATCGCGGCCGGCGCGCTCCTGCCGCACGAGATCGCCGCGGCCGCCTACCGCGGCCAGGACGACAATGTGTCGGAGCTGCAGTGGCGCCGCATGGTGGACGACCTCCGTTCCAAGGGGTCGCTGCACAACTGCATCTCGGTCTGCGACGTGTCCGCGAGCATGAGCGGCACCCCGATGGAGGTGTGCATCGCGCTGGGCGTGCTCACCTCGGAGCTCAGCGAGGAGCCGTGGGCCGGCAAGGTGATCACCTTCAGCGAGAACCCGGAGATTCACCTGATCAAGGGCAAGACCCTCCGCCAGAAGATGGACTTCGTGCGACGCATGCACTGGGGCGGGAGCACCAACTTCCAGGGGGTGTTCGACCAGATCCTCCGCACGGCGGTCGAGGCGAGTCTGGCGCCGGAGAAGATGATCAGGACCGTGTTCGTATACAGCGACATGGAGTTCAATATGGCGTCAGGGAGCGCCTACGCCGCCTACTACAGCCGGCGGGAGTCGGTTCCGTGGGAGACTGACTACGAGGTGATCTGCAAGAAGTTCAGGGACGCTGGCTACGGCGACGTGGTGCCCCAGATCATCTTCTGGAACCTGCGTGACTCGCAGTCGACGCCAGTGACATCGACCCAGCCTGGGGTGGCCATGGTGAGCGGCTTCTCCAAGAACTTCCTCAAGATCTTTCTGAAGAACGACGGGGTGGTGAACCCTGAGGCCATCATGATGGAGGCCATCGCCGGCGAAGAGTACCAGAAGCTCGCCGTGTACGACTAGATCCATGCATTGTCAGTTGTCATCATCAGCTTAGTTTGTCTGTCGTGCTGTTGGATCAGCTTGTTTTCATAACTGTGAACAGCAGACTTGCTGTGCTTGATTAGCTTCTTTTCTGAAATAAAACCAAAATCATGCTTGACCGGAATTGTTTTGCTTTATCCAATGTACTGATCGATCATCATTTGGAGTGCATGCATGAATTAATTGACCGTGCCTTCTGAATTCCCAACAGCTTTAGCTGCCCATGTTGTTCTTGGTTAGCATAGTCTTTTGTGCATTCGTACCTTATTACCTTGGTTGCTTTCCAATGTCCTTACGAATTCTCTTGATTGCAATGGTATATACTGGCATAGGTAGAAGGTGCATGTATGCACTGAATTGAAGGCTAATTTACAATTTCAAATTCTTATGTTTATGCATGCCAAGAATGCAGAAACTTACCTGAACAGATTGCTTTTTGATTTCCCATCATCGGAGAGTATGAAGGAGTGATTTCTGAATTCTGGGCAGCTAAACTGTCATGGGTGTTTGGTTAGCTTATTTTCTGAATGAATTCGGACATGGTAAAAGTTGTCCGAACTGTCGCCTGTTTTATCATCATCATGCCACTAATGCGGAAACTTACTCATCGTTCATGTGTGCATTTGGGTTTCTCTGTTTTATCATGCATCTTTGGCAAATTCATTCTGTAGTGCAGGAACACGTTTGTAAACAGTTTCCTTAGCCTGCACATCCTGTATGCATGTATGTGGTTGGTACTGTTATTAATCTGTAACTGAGCCGAAAGGCTGAAGCTAGATGCAGAATCTCTCTTATGTAAAAAAATTCCATGCTGGTTAACTTCACACTTAACAGTGGAATTACTAAAACTAAATTTTGGCGAACAGTGGTACAAATAAAATGGATATACGCAGTAGCATGGCCTTGTCAACATCTGCAGATGCTGATCTCTCGAAACAAGTTGCTCTCATCCGCCCTCCCCTGTTCAAGTGCTGTACGTGCTCCTCCAGTGTTATTGTAGTGCATGAATGAATTTCTGAATTTCTAACAGCTTACTGTTGTCGCGTTTGATTTTCTGAATCCAGATCGAAATCATGTTTGTAATTTTTGCTCTCTCTCTCTCAGTTGTACTTGTATGCTTGCTCTGTTTGTTAGTCTTCTTTTCAGAATCCAAACCAAAAGTCATGCTAGCAATTTTTGCTGTTGAACATGTTGCTTGAGCTGGAGGATGATTGGAATGGCCTCTAATTTACTGAGTCTTTTGATTACTGGCATAGGTGGAGAGCTGCATGTATGCACTGAATTCAGGGTTCAGATTAGAAGTGAGATCCTCAGTTACGGCATGCCTAGACCGCAGAAACTTTTTTTTTTGAGAGCCGCGCCAATGCAACTTTGGCAGAGAATGGATGACTTGTATTGTCTTCAGTCACAGAATGAATGAAATAAATGACTTTGAGTGGGGATGGATGTTTTTTATTTATTTATCATGCAACTTGGCAGTGTAATTCTACAGAAACACTTTTGGCAAACACACTGTCTAGGTTGCCTGTACATCGATCCTCTATGCATGATACGGTTAACCTGTCAGTTTATTCTAAAAGCTGAAGCTACAGTAATAGCCATCCATAGATTTGAGTAATTTCGAGTAACATGTTGAAGCCTCGAGACCAGCCGCGTCAAGATATGCTGTCGATCTGACCTGGTGACCCTTCTTCGTGTTCATTGATGGCCAGGTCGACCTGACGGTCATGCTTCTCTCCTTGAGTGCTGATGGACCATCCTTTGGAGCGCTCGAATGAATGAATTAGCTTGAATCTAAACTGATTACCTTTTTTTTTTCTTCTGAAATTGAACCAGGTCGATAGATTTGTGCTATGTCTTTTATCTTTCTTAGGTATGTTGTAGCTCACATGCATTGAGATGTATTTATATTAGTCGACACGCGCAACAAAATTATGACCATCGGTCAAATTTAGAGAAATTTTTACAAATGCATTGATGCTTCCTTGAGTCTACTAATAATAGGCTTGTAATGTGTTTTTTTTACTGGAAAGTCATTGCAGCCTCTACATTCTCAATTATTGGACATGCGGATGACTTTCCTAGCCACAAATGGCGTCCAGTAGGGAGAGACGAGGCTGCCTTTGCCAAGGCATGAGCCTCAAAGTTTGCCTTCCTACTTTCAAAAGAAACTTAACTTCTACAAAGTCTGTAGCTAAATTTCAGTTGGCTGAAACACTTTATATCTCAGCCGTGCTTAGCCCTTATTGAGAGAGATGTAGCTTCGGTCACCTCTGGCGCAGTGCTACTGGGCCAGCCCAGTATGGTAGCTTCCACACAAGTTTTCTTTTCTCTGTGCTTCTCTTATTAATTTTTCACTGTTTGCATCGATTTCCTTTGATTTCTATCCTTTTTCTTCTTTTTCTTCGCTTTTCTATGGTTTTCTTTCTTTGATTTTCACCATATTTTTTTGATTTTTTGTTTCAAACAATGTCACATTCTTCATACACATTTTACATTTTTTGTATACTCAGAAATGTTTTTATGCATGTTTAACAATTTTCCAAGTATAAGTTTCGAGGTCTATTTTTCATACACATTGTACATTTTTGGTATAATTTTTTTATACATGTTCAACATTTTTTTCAAATACATATTTTAGAACACATGTTAAACATTTTACAATTACGCGCTGAATTTTTTTTGAAATACAATGTTTTTTACATTGTATAAACATGTTTTTAAATGTAAATATATTTTTAAATACATGAATCTTTTTTAAAATGCAACATATATTTTTTGAATGATATGAATTTTCAGAATTAGACGCACTTTGTTTCATATGTCCAACATTCATTAATGTTTCATGTACACTTTTTGAAACACGTGGATATTTTTAGAATGCAATAAACATTTTTTGAATGATAACGAACTTTTTTAATTACATGAATTTGATTTTTTTTCAAAATGTCACGCACATTTTTTTGAAATGCGTGGACATTTTTTAAATATCACCATTTTTTGAATGCTATCAACATTTCTTTACACAGCCAAAAAGTTGACACCGTGTTCCATTTTTCAAATCCATGGTGCAAATATTTTTTAAGTACATTAAGTTTTTTGGAATGTTTGTATTTATAATATTTTAAAAAATATATATAAATGAATAAAAGTTGATGTATGTATAACTGTGTGATTAGGGACCGGCATATTTAAGGCGTCCGTGAGACGAGACGTGCTTGTGTATGCGGGCGAGACACAACCGATCCCCGGCTCCAACAGTGTGTTTACCATTCGGTCATGGCAGAGAGGGGGCTTTTTAGGGTTTGTTATGGGTTTGTGGGTGTGCGGGACGAGCTGGAGTGGTGACAGAGGCATTTTTCAGCGTTATCTGCTGGACTGTGTTTTATATTGCATTTTCCTTTTTAAGTACGGTAGGGTGGGAGGGGGGGGGGCACACATCCACTTTTTTTTCGCTTTCGGTTTTCATTCTTTCATATCTTTTGAACCAAAATTCCAAATTAAGTTTCGTTTTTATATTTGTGTTTCTGGTGACAAGAGCTTACAAATGAGAACCATTTCGAACCCATTTTGACGAGTTTTTAAAATTTTCATTAAGTTTCATCTTCTGAAACTTAGTATGAGCAACCCACAAAATCGTAAGTTTCAGAATCTACGGCCAACAAACTCGTAAGTTTTAAGTTTCAACTCTAAATCTTGGTAGGATCGATTGACAAAATCGTAAGTTTCAGAAGCTATGCCCGACAAAATCGTAAGTTTCAAAAACTAAAACTTAAAACTTGTTGTGCCCTTGTGCGAGGATCCAACAACTTTGCGAATCACGAGGCATCAAAACGGCTGGCATGGCGGGTAAGGTGTGTGCCCCGCATCTACATGCACCTGCAATTTTCCGAGGGTAGGGGGAGGGATTATACTATGGCTTCTCTACATAGATTTTCTTTAGGGGACTCTACATAGATTTTTAGTCTATGTTTTTAGGACATGCCTAGCCTGCAAGTGTATGGCACGGTAAGGGCTCAACTTTCAATCGTAGTTCTGTTGGGACAATTAGAATATTTGCTCACAACTTATTTTGCATCTTGAATGCCACCTTACACATTGAAAGGTGTATGCCATCTTTTAAATACGTGATGAACATTTTCAAAAAAATACTTCCAACATTATAAAATGAATATTAAATTATTATTGAAAATGTGAATGGAATAATCAAACAAAAGAAGGAACAATGTTGCTTGGTAAAAGAACAAAATGATAGAAGAAGAAATAACAAAAACCCGTAAATACTAGAAAAATAGAACATAGTAGAAAGGAAAAGCATTGAAAATAAATAAATGGAAGCAAATGAATGTTTTACTTACCTAGGATCGAACCTGTGACATGAAGGTAAGAACCGATCCTGTGGTGGCCAAGGGCCTTTCGTGCCTTTTAAAACATAGAAGTCAGTCATAGGAGCTTAAAGGTTTGGTTGTGGCACCGTTGGCACCAGAGGTGTGCCACCTTTTAATTGCGGATGACATTCATTCGTTCTTGAAGGCATGTGGGGAGTGCAAATGCAACAAGGAGTGCTTTAAATGATTACGATCGAGCTTTAGGGCAAGAAGTTAATGTGGATAAATCTTTTGTACTTTTGGGCAAGGGGCGTTCCAATGAGCTGAGAAATAGATAAACAATGTACTCAAAGGCTACACTGAATCATTAAGTGAGAATTATTTGGGGCTGCCTTCTGATGTGGGCAGAAAACGTTTAAATATCTTAAATATAGAATATGTAAAGGGTTCAAGTTGGATGGCAAGAATGTTACCGACCGAGGGGAAGGAAGTGTTGATCAACTCAATTTCTCAAGTAGTTCCCACTTATTCAACAGTTTTTTTCGGCTTTCCCGTGTATGATCTCAAATAAAGTCCATGCTTCAAAATTTCTGGTGGGAAAGTAAGGGTGGAAAGATGAAGACATGTTGGCATCATGGGACACAATGACTA